TTTTTTGTAGATTCTGTCTCTCACAGTTGAGGTGTACCTACGATGAAAATTACAGAACTGTCCATTCTTTGTAAGTGGGACAACTTGAAAAATCGGCAGTGTATCAAATACTTATTTGCCCCACTGTATGAGATGTGTGTGTTTAGTTGTTGCGTATGACGGTGCTGATCCAGCTGTTGTAGCGGCACACATGGGCATAGCTGCTGGGGTGTCCCTGCATGGCACAGTCCCTGTGGTGTCCCTGTACATAGTACAGTACATGGTGTAACTCAGTAACAATAGAGTAACTTTATACACAGCTGAAAAGCAGTGCTCCGCCCACTCTGCTTCAAAGTTTCTGACCTGTTTTACCTTTGGGTGTGGTCAGAAGTGTGCTTTGTTGTACTGTCCTAATTGTACTGTAGTATACTGGCACATCATGGTGACAAGTTAATTGTCAACAGGTCAGCAAAAACATTATTATCAGAAGGTGTCACATCACTCTTTAATGTGTGTTAAAATGTGTTCTTAGCATTTACTGCATATTAAAAAACTGTGTTAAGCTGAAATCAGTGTGTTGATGAGATATTTGCTAAATAATGCTTAATTAATGATCACGAGAGTATGTGGCAGTTATGTTGCACTAAAGGCAGCTTATTTGCATCTTGTTTTTGATCTGAGTTTAACAGTGAAGCTCAAATACAGTCATAGTCTGCCTCATACTCCGTTTATACACTTAACACCTGTGTGCAGTCAGTGCTTTGCTGTTTCTGATGAGAGCTCAGTCTGCTCATTTAGTATATCAGTGTATACCAATGTTATGATTTACTCATTCAGTACCCTCACACTATTTTACCAGATCCTTTGTCTAATCTTTAGAGTAGAGTTACATTCATAATACATCCTTTCTGACAGACAGGAAGCAGCAGGTGAGGCTGGGAAAAACCACATCCAGCACCCGGACAATAAGCACAGGCGCCCCCCAGGGATGTCTGTTCTCCCCTCTGCTGTTTTCACTCTACACCAACGACTGCATCTCGAAGGACCCCTCTGTCAAGCTTCTAAAGGTTGCTGGTGACACAACGGTCATTGGTCTCATCTGACGAGTCAGCCTACAGACGGGAGATTGGGTAGCTGGTCCTATGGTGTAGCTGCAACACCATAGGACCATCACTGTCCATCAATGTCTGGTTTGGTTAAGCAACCAAACAGGAAATGTACAGACTCTAGCGGACAGTCAGGACTGCAGAAAAGGTCATTGGTGTGAGCCTGCCCTCCATGGAGGACCTGTACACCTCACGGGTAAAAAGGAGGGCAGAGAGGATCACTGCTGACCCCTCACACCCCGGACACAATCTGTTTGAACTCCTCCCCTCTGGACGGCGTTACAGGTCACTGTGCACTAAGACAACCAGCCATAGGGACAGTTTCTTCCCCCAGGCCATCAGTCTGATGAACACTTGACCAACGACAGTATGATTGGACAATAACCTGTAAATATACATTGTATAGATTATACAGATCCGTACAGGTCTCTAGTTCTTAAGTACTTTGTTTTTATCCCTATTTATCTCATTTCAATGAGCATTCCTTGTCTGTCTGCATTGTTTGTTTGCATTGTCTGTTGCATGTTAATACTGCATATTTTGTTATATTACACAGCCTTATGTTGGTTTACTGTTTACTTGCCCATTGCATGGAGATATGTACATACACAATGAGAGCCGATATACAGTCATATTCCTCGTGTGTCCGACACACCTGGCCAATAAAGCTGATTCTGATTCTGATTCTGAATTAAACACTAAATAAAGGAGGAAACATGTCTCTTGTAGGACCGATACTGTTCCTGTCAATGATACAAATACAATAGTGGAAGTGGTACAGTGGTAATATTAAAGGTGTTTTTATTGAATTAAAACAGATATTTTCTATATGCCATTTAGATTTTAAAAGCAATTATTCTCAATGCTCTGTTACAAAGAAGCACTATACTGTGCACATTTGTGTGCTCATCGCTACACCATTGAATCACAGACTGCTTGTATTGCAGGAAAATGATGCACACTCATGTTCCACCAACCCCTTGTGTGTTCACTATGGTTTAGTCCAACTCACTTGGCAGCTGCTGGCACCTCCTTGCATGAATCCAGTACAAACCATGTTCTTGGTGAAAGATGGGGGCAGGCGTTCCTGCAGATCCTGTCATTGATGATGTGCTGCCTCAGACGCCGCAGCCTGTCGGGATAGTTGCCTGGGGAGCAGAAAGGCAAATCTTGGTTACTGTACCTAAATGCCACATTTACTCCATGTATAACATGGAATTAATTTTGTATTTAAAATAAAATGAATGAACTGATTAATTGATCTGATGATGAATTTTTTAATTTATCAAGTAAAAATGCCAACAATTTAGTAGGTGCCACTTCTCCAGTGTAAAGATTTGCTGCTTCTTTCTGTATTGTATCATTTGTAAACCAAAAAGAATTGAATTTGAAACAACTGGTCAAAGAAAAGAGGCGATATAAAGTCATAGTGGGCTGTAGGAAAGTCACTGTTTTCTGACATTTTATGAGTAAAACAATTAATTGATGAATCAGAAGCATAATTATCACTGATTAACAAATAAAATGATCTCTTGCAGATTTAATTTGTTCCTAGAGCTGCATGCCACAGTGCATGATTGCAAGACATACAGCGT